CGTAGCTGAGAAAACTGTACATATGACAGGAGCTCAGCCCACATGCTAACTATAAAGGATAAACTCCCAGAATAAGGTTGGCCAAATCATTTGACCTTTAGATTCCTCTTCAGTTTCCATGGTAATAATGAAGAAACTTATAAAAAAAAAAGGACACAATATATTGATGATTATATTTAACTGAGGAGAACCAATTCTTCTACCAACTCCCAATTTTTCTCTTCTTTGGCTATTATGAAGTTGCCCTTCCTAAGCTAGCTCTAAAATGCTTCTTTTGCATTGATATTATAGAAGTTTTAATTAGAACAGAAGTATTTCCGAAAGGGGGTCATAAATTAAGTTATTTTTAGACACTGACATCCTGACATGACTTGGTCTATCAGATTAGCTAGTTACTTAGCAGGGCCTTGACGGAATGAGATGCAGGAAATGCTACTGGGGAAGAGGAAAAAGTCCTTAATGAGGGAACTGTGGGAAAATAGGCATGGAGAGGAAAAGCGGAGATGGCACTAGGAGCTGAAGAGTGGCTGAGGTCCTAAGAAAGGGGATGGTGGGTGAGGAGGAGAGGGAGCTTAGAAGGGAAATGGGAAGACAGCAATTGCTTGTGGCAGAACATGTCCGTAAAAGGTGCTGTAAGAAGCACTGGAAGACTGAAATCAGAAGACAAGAGTTCTCCAGAAAGTCCTTTCCCTTTTCTGAGCTCATTTTCTCATTTCTAACCTGGAAGTAGCATTCCTTCCCCAGCTACCCTCTAGGATTGATATGGGGGCCAAAATAACTAATGGATTGAAAATTGCCTTGTGAATGGCGAAGCATCAGGCCAATAGAGGTTTTTAAATTATCATCATTATTCGCTTTCACAGAGGAAATAAAGAAAGTAAATGGGGAAAGTAAATGGGGAAGATTCTTTCTCTCCTTATTGAGAGGGGTGAAAAATCAGCTTGAAAAGGGAGTGTAAGTCTGAGCTAAGTGCTTTCTAATATTAGAATTATATGCAAATAAAATAAAATTGCGTTTGTACATGAGGCTTTTTCTCTTATATATAACAACCAGGCATCCTGAACCTCTTCTCTTTCCCTTCGGAAGCTTTTCAGTTTGATGAGCCAGTGTACAGGTAAGCAAGGATGGTGTAATGTGTATAGTTTTATTTTGTTTTGGTTTTGGTTTTTAGATCTAGGTAGGGTCTCACTATGTAGTTGAGGCTGACCTGGAACTCACTATGTAACCGAGGCTGGTCTTGATTCACAACAATCTTCCTGCCTCAGCCTTGTACAGACATGTGCCACCACACCCAGCTTAAAGTATATAGTTTTTTCAAAGCTTTGGAGTGGTAGAATGGGAATGAGCACTCTGCCAGTTCTAGTAATATTCTGTAAATATCGCCTATCATTCAGTTGTGAATCTGAAAAGGATGTTAAATATCTGTGCCAACTTTCAAATTCTACATGTAATGAACCAGATATTATGAGGTTGTCACATAGTGAGATACAGGCAGAGCTGAGACTCCAACCCAAGCTTTGTAAATGCCACTCAAAAAATTCTTGGACACAGAGCCAGGGATTTAGCTCAGTGGTTCCAGAGCCTGCCTTGCAAGCGCAAGGACCCAAGTTCGATGACAGTAGTATTCTGTCCCCTCCCCACTGCAATTCAGTCGGGAATCTCTAAATCTAATAAAGACTTAGAGTTTGGAAAGACAGCCTCTACAACTTCAGCTTTACGTACACCTTCTGTTACCCTGCAAACACACCTCCCCTAAGCTTCCCAACCCTAGTCTTTCTCTGGAGCAAATCTCAGCTTCAGTCTTCAGGGCAGGTGAGCTCATTGGCAACCTATTATGTCTGCTTCATCTCCAAGTCTGGTGTACCCTACTGGGGATGGATGGCGGCAAGCCTGCCCCTGGGGCTAGCATTGCCCTCCTCCCTCATCCCTCTTAGCCTGTCTCAGCAGGCATTTTGTTCAACAGGAAGCTTGGCTCTACCTCTGAGCACACGCAACATCCAGATAATGCTGGAGCTAGAGTTCTCTGAAGCTTCCCAAAGTGAGACCAGGGCAAAGAGGCAATTCTCATCAGCATGTCTGCCACTGCACAGACAGATTGAGTTTCACAGTAGCCACAGGAACAGAATCCACATATCTACTTTCATTAAGGGAGGTGAGCACAATCTAATTATCTTTTTCATTGATTTTGCCATGAAGGAAGGTATCCAAGATCATATAAAGCAATCCGTCAGCTGAAGAGCACCCATATTTAATCTGAAGATCTAGTCAGAGACAGCAGGGCAGAGAGGCCTAGAACTGCACCCACCACACTCCTACATTCTCACCAGTACAGTCAGATGTGCATACTAATGGCTCAGACACATGGTAGTGCACACACTCAGACATGGAGACACACACTGACACACATTCTGACATTATCACTTGGACTCTTCATTCTCTTGGCATGCATTTAGGTGTCCCACTCCAGTCTCATGCCTAGCACTGCTTTGCTTAGCCCTGCTGCTGCAAATGTAGAAGACTCTTCTTCGGCGGGAGAAGGTCATCTCAGCCTCTCAATGCTGAGAAACCAGGGTCTAGTCATCTCTGAGGGCAAACAACCCACATTCCCAAACCCCAGAATATCTTGGCTCCAAATGTCCATATAAAGAAGATGAATTTCGCACTTGCAGTATTTATTGAAAACATAGCAGTAAATGGCTAAAGCCTGTTTTCTTTCCACTCATTATTAAAATTAAACAGATGGATCAACAAAGTATTTTCACACTCAAAATTCATGCAGCCAGATTTGGGTTTTCTTTTTTAATAAAGACAAACGCATTTGAAGATCCAGTGAGCTTTCCAGGAGAACTGACCCCTCACTGAAAAACGACATGCAACTGCAAGAGAGATTCCTTTTTCTATATCTATAGTGAACGTGACCACATTTCCTTGTAGCAAAGGGACAAGAGGAAAGTAAGAATGATGGGAATAGGAAGAGGGGTGGGGAAACCATCAGAGAAGGTGGGCGAATAAAGCAGCAGGGCTATGGGGAGGCACCGTTCTAATATCAAAATCCCAGCTCTCATGAAACCCATATGAATCCCATGGCTGGCAGCCATGCACGGAGGGATGCAACCAGAACTCTCTTCTTATAACCAACGACATCAATGAGTGTTATTATTATCAGCATGATCACTGTTATCTGCGGCTCGCATGACGGGGTGCTGGTACTTACCCCAGTAGATGAGCAGGAGAGAAACGAGGGGAAACAAACTGTTGAAGGCCGGCATCCTTCTCGGCAGGTGGCTTCCGCGGCTAAACAGAGAGATTCCCTCAGTCAAGGACTGCGCCCTCGGATTCTTTCGAGGAAACCCTTCGGGACGAACTGCCCCGAGGGCGCGACTTTCTGAAAAGAAGAAGGGCCAAGCGCCTTGCCTGGGGAAGCTCTGCGCGCGCTCTGAGCCCGGCGGGGGTCTCGGCTCGTAGCTACCGCGAAGACCTCCTCCCCAATTCGAGGGAGCCGATCCCCAGCTCCGCGCTCTCTCCCGGGAGCTCACCGCTGGGATCCGACTCAGCACCACGGACAGTAGCCTCCCCGCCCACCCCGGAACTTCACATTCCAGCTGGCGCCCGGGACTCGCTCAACAAGGCGGGGTGTCGCACGCTGGCGCTAGGACGCTGCGCCGCCGAAGGGGTCCATGTTGATTCACCTCTGCCTTCCCTAGGAACAGCTACGCTCTGGCTAGGATCCCCGCGATCAGGAGCACGGGCTTCTTCCGCCCCGCCCGGCTTCTCCCGTTAGGCGTGTCCCGGCACGCGAAGCCACCCGGGCCGCCCGTCAGGGCTACAGAATCCGGTGTCCGTCGATTGGGCTCACGCCGCCCTCGGCTCCCCAGGAGGGAAGACGATGTAAATCCCGTTGGGCTGGTGATCTCCGAGTGGAGGCTGCGTGGAGAGGGGGCGCCCCTTCCCCGGACTCCCCCGTGGATCATGCGGGCACCGACCCTGGGTCGCCGGGGATCTGCGGCCCCTGTCAGGCCCCCGGGCCGTGTGCGCAG